TGGAAAAATGTCAAACATGTAAGGGATGATCCCTAGTCCTCCTCCAGTTATTATTGTTGTTTCATGAAGAGGAGGCGAAACTTCCTACTCCATCCAATGAGATCGAAGCGTCACTTCAATCCCAAACCAGACAGATGTTTCTGCAAGAAAGAACTATGGGTAAATACTTCCTACGAACAATGCCACATACATTTTCAACAAAATGGTAACAAGCCAAATTCAATACCATTTCAGACCATGACAGATTGAGGTCTACTCCTGGAATGCAAAGATGTTTCAGCATTGATTAATGTTGAGTCTAGAAGATAGAGAACCCTAGAAAGTATAACCAATGAAGAATGAGCAGCCGATTCACAATCGGGCGAAACACTGGGATGAACATTTTCCCTAGAAGAGAATACAGGCGGCCAAGAAACACATGGAAGATGATCATCTTCACTAACCTAACAAAATGTAAATTAAAGCTTCAATGCAATGGAGGCTTCCCAAAAAATAGTTTTGAAAATTGAAAATGAGTTCTGTTCTAATTTCTTCTTCCTTCTATGCATCTGGAAGCAGGTATGAGCCATGCCTTTATGGGGGTTTCCTCGATGAAGGTAACTGATGTGGGAAAATTCATGCGTGCTTGCGTGTGTGTTTCTCTAAAAAAGGGCTCTGCGATTCCCAAGCAGAAGCGTCTGCTTACTCTCGGAGCTGCAGAATCACAGAAGCGTAGACACAGGTGCTGAGACGTAAGGAAAGTCAGGCTGGTGTGACGCCTCTGTGCTGTGCTTTGCATCTCAGGTGTTTCCCCCAGAATTTACCCTCCCAGGAGCCAGGAGTCCGTTTCACAAATCCCTTGCCACAACAAACCAGACGTTCAGCTCCTGCTGGCATAGTGAATCTCCACCCGAGTCACCCAGAAGAAATGTCCGCTTTATCAAATTTTAGATAACTCTTAAGTTTTCAATAATAACCTTTATGATAGAAAAAAGGTGAAATTTTCTGATGTATTTTATCTAATTCAGTGGATCCAAAATATGCACATTGCTTGGCATGTTGATGGGATATTTCACATCCTTTTATTATTTATGTCTTCAATACCCAGTGTGTATTGGACCCTGAAGCTCTTAACTATCTGTGCTGCAAGAACACACTAACCACTATTAGCAGTGTCTTTTACACTGGGCAGTGGTAGTCTAAAATTTTTCTACACCAAGGTACAATTTTCCAGCCAATGTGGGAGTACCGGACATCAGGAGGCTGTAGACAGAGACATCTCTAAGGCTCAGGGAGGAAGGGCACTGCCTACCTACATACATTCCCCACAAGTGTTTCTTCAACAACTCCATACTAAATGGTTTTCATTTGGCCACAGAGAATGGAGATTCCTGACTTCCCCTGCCCACGCGGCCCACCCATCTCCACTGGTTCACACCAAGGCCTTTCTACAGAGCTGGAGGGGAGGTGACAGTCAATGGGTTTGTTTTCTAAGGTCCATACTTGTGACCTCAGCTATCATGTCCCTTCAGAAACGCTGCATTTTGAGTGTTTTGTAAAATAAGTACTTCTCAGAGTTCTGTCTCAGCAAGCTGTTTCCGGTACACCTCAATCTCCTTTATCTCGACAAGAAGTCATTTAGGACTTTTATTCCCTTTTTTATGTCCCCCCTTTTAAAGGAAGAATTAAGGAAGTGCTTTGCATTCGTAGGGGAAGAATTTGGAGCAGAGAGAAAGTTTCCAGGGAAGTCGCATTCACCTTGCCCTGAGTAAGACCCTTAGCAGAGCGGTAGTGGTTGCTTGAAAACAGGACAGTCAACCACAAATCAATAATGCATCTCGATACCAGTCACAACCCAGAGCAAGCATGGAGTTAAAAGAAAAGCCACAAGCACTTTCTTTGTATGTTGACAAGGTTCTAAAGAGTAATAATAAAAGTTAGCACTAAGTGATCTTCTCCTGGGTATGGATATCCATGTAGGCAATTGTCCTTAGCCCCAAAGTAATCTTCTCTTGGGTACAGGTCTTCACATAGGTAGTTTCTCCTAAACTTCCTTCTCCATCACAAAAAACTAACATGGGACTGGGGACATGGCTTGGTAGTAAACCATTTGCTGGCACATACAAGGCCTAAATGTTCTAGGCCCAGAACTGCGTATTCAGTCTCTTTCATCCTCCCCCCCATTTTATAAATAATAAATAATTTCTACCTGTAAAATTACATGTACTTATTTTAAAATAGCCGAGTATGGGGACGTGTGCCTGTCATCCCTAGGGAGGGTAAGACAGAAAGATTGTACTGCCTGCACTACGTAAAATGTACCAAGTCAGCAAGGGCTATATAGCAAGACTTAGGCTGAAAAACAAATAAATAAAAGGAAATTACCCAAAGGCGGGGGGGGGGGGGGGGGAGAAAGAAATCAGGAAACCAAGAATGAGCCAATATATTCAAATAGTGTGATGTTTGTTTTATATTTGGAATACCAACCCCACTCACCTCCGCTGCACAATTAGAACAAACATGGCTAAAATTGTCAAGACTGTGAACATAAATAATAGACCATAGTATATGCCTATACTATAAGTTAAAGTGTAGGCAAGTAGAGGTTGATTGCAGTGTGCATTATTAATGCAACAATAAAGGCTTCCTTGTTCATCTACAATGTGTAGCATCACCAAAACAATGAAACAAAACAAAACCCACAAACACAGGCTCTCAAGAGCGTCGGGGTCACACTGTGACACTTGCTGCGTTTTGTGATCCTGCAAGGCATGAATGTGTGAAGAAGGGGACAAATGTCAGATATTGCAAACACATCATGCAAACTGCAGCTGCAGACTAATATGCAAGGTAGAGGCAGTCCCCTGATCTGCCTGACATGCGTGGCTTGAAGAAAGACTGAAGGAAGGAGCCACAACTAGACTAGAAAGAAAATGGACGAGGGAGGAAAATAAAGGAAATGGAAGTGTAGTGGGATCCATGAAGGTTTGTAGAGGGATTCATTCGCAAGAGAGCGCACAGGGGAAGGAAAAGAATAGAAAGCGAGGGAGAAGGTACCAGAAGTGAAGAGCTCTGGGAAAAAGCCTGAATTGCTAGGATCAGACAGTTTCTTCCGGGACAAGAGACTGGCCGTGCTCCTCAGCACTGAGGCTGGGTACAGTTTTTGGAACTGTTTAGAGAAATGCAGCGTGCTCCCCACCATTAATCTTTTCTAATGAAAGGCTTTGTTCTGCACCTGTATAAACAACCCAGATTTTTAAAACCTATGTGCTTGCCCCTAATGTGTGAGGGTATGTATTTATAGTGATAGCTTCAAGTCATCTATAGGTAACACCTCTGCCTTACATCTTTCCGTGGGCACCCCTCCCACACCAAACCCCCCACCCCCACCTCCTTTTGCCTGGACAGGCTTGCCTGCAGTCAAGTGCAAGTTCAAGCACAGGCACGCACGCGCGCGCGCGCGCACACACACACACACACACACACACACACACACAACACCCTATTCACTTTTCACCCTCTGCTAATTAGAGCTGCGTTTCCCCAGCCCCCAAATGTGAAGGCAGAGGACCCTTGTCTCACAGTGAGTACCTCTCTTACTCTGCCCCCCAAACAAAGACAAAAGGTAGAAGAAACCTTCTGAACAGGAAGCAAGCAGGAGCTGAGCGATTGTGGGAGATGCCCCGTAGTGGGGGGCAGGAGGTGGAGTGAAGCCTGGGGTCTGAACTCAGCCGCTGCTCAACCACCTGTTACAGTAAGTAAGTACTTCTGGCTCGCTCGCTCGGGGCTCCTCTGCTGTAAAGACTAGAATTCATTTTGCAGGCAGCTTGTGTCTCTCGTGTATCTGCTTGTCCCACCCTCATCTGGAACCTGTGAACCAAGGGAAGGACACGTGAACAGTTAAGCCGCAAAGGGAGGAAACTCAGTTGCCTCCTTGTCAGCCAGGGCAGGGGAGTAGCGATTCCCCAAACTGGGCACACAGCAGGAACTGGATTAAAAAAGCCCTTCCCCCTGAGCACATACTGGTGCCACCGCTCCCCATCTCGGAAATGAGCCTGGAGTATTGCTTTGTCCCTCTGGGGTTGGGGAAGGCAAGGCTTTTACTTTGACTTGAAACAAAACACCGTCCATTCTAGGTGCTGTTTCCTCTTTTCTTTCCTCGTTCCCTCATCTTTAATTTTGGCAAGGCAATTGTGCCGACTTACTATTCTGCATCCAAAAACGTGCTTTTTAGTGTGGCACCTAAAATGGTGATGGGTGCCCTTGCTACAACTCAAATAGTCCACAGTAGCACTGAGGAGCTGAAAAACGAAATCATGCTGTTTGGAACTCTTACAACAGTGGAAAACAACATCTCAGTAAAGTGTGGTGAGGGAGCTTGTGGCGACTGAAATGCTAAACACAGAGTCCTATTTATTTGCTATGCCAGTCATATTGCAAGAAGGACATGATAACGTGTAAGTCGGAGGTGTCGTTTGAAGATGAAACGAGCCAAAATAGAAAAAAAAAAAAAAAAAAAAAAAAAAAAGCTCTGTGTGAATGAATCATAAAGCTATCCTGAAGATGAGGAGAAAGAAATAAGCCAAGTGATTCATAGGTTGTTGAGCTGCTCCTTGCTTTTTTGCTGTCTCTCTGCACTAACTCTGAGAAGTCTTGGGTAAGCAAACATACATCATGAGTGATGAACCTGAACGACAGTTCCCGAGGACCAAACTAGGAGATGTAAGTTCACTTGCATTCATAAGGGCCCACTAAGCCCAGCTGCAGGTGGAAATGGGTTGAATGGGAACTAAGTCCTTTTGCCTTTTTGTCCCCAAATCTCACTTACCTCGCACAGATACTCTTAGGGTCGGTCCTTGGGCCTAGAGGCCCAAGTCTGGGCTTTGCCCAGATGTTCCTTGCCCCCGCCCCACTAAGCGCTCGGCTGAGAAAAACGATCCCCACCCCTTCCACGCCCCTCCCCACCTCTTGTCCCCCTTTCAAACCCTCTCTACTTTGCCGGGGGTGGTTTGTCCCAAAGAGTACAGATAAATAGTCCTGTCAAAAGGCGCAGCTCGCGCGGCTGTACTTCTGGATCCCGAGTCAAGTTCAGAGCCCCAGGCTGGCGGGTGAGCGGCCAATCGCGCCCGCTCCAGGCGCCCTGCTCTTTGGGGACCCGCTGCGCGGGGGTCCCGGGTCTCCCGTACCTCTCTGAGCTCTCCCACGCCCCATCCTCTTCCAGGGAGCGGAAGCCGGAGACGGCGAGACTGGACGGGGCGGAGGAAGGCGGGCGCGCGTGGGCGCCGGGGACTAGGCGATGTCCACCGGCTCGGTGAGTGACCCCGAAGACATGGAGGGGCGAGGGCTGCGGCGGGTCTACCCGGCCCCCGCCACCAAGAGGCCACCTCTGCCCAGCACCGAGCGAGGCTATGGCTCGCCCAGCGACAATTCTTCGGCGGAGGAGGAGGACCCCGACGGCGAAGAGGAGCCATGCTCTTTGGGAAGCGCGGGCATCCCGGGGCGCTGCAAGAGGAAGCGGCCCCGCGGGGCTGACGGCGGCGGCGCAGGTGGCGGTGCGGGCGGCGGCGGTGGCAAGAAGCCGCTCCCGCCCAAGGGCTCGGCCGCCGAGTGCAAGCAGTCGCAGCGGAACGCGGCCAACGCCCGCGAGCGCGCCCGGATGCGCGTGCTGAGCAAAGCCTTCTCCAGACTCAAGACCAGCCTGCCCTGGGTGCCTCCCGACACCAAGCTTTCGAAACTGGACACGCTGCGCCTGGCTTCCAGCTACATCGCGCACCTGCGCCAGCTGCTGCAGGAGGATCGCTACGAGCACGGCTACGTGCACCCGGTGAACCTGGTAGGAACCGAGAGCGGCGCGGGAGGCCTGGGGCCAGCAGCCCTGAGCGCTCCCCCGGCGCAGGGCTGGGTCGCTGGCCCAGGGGGAGAGCCCCAAAGGAGAGGTTTCTAGAACCCGTGGTGAGGAATCTGGTTTAGTGGCCCCCAAATCAAGTCAGGAGGAGCCGGCCTTTTTTTTTCTTGGAGAAAATCATCCAGCCTTCCGATCGGTGTCCTGGTCCTTTGCCCAGTGACAGCTATTCGTTAACACCCTACTTCCGGGGTAAATGGTGGCTTCCTCACTGCAAGTAATTCTGTGTTTTAGACCGGATGGGAAAGTCTCAGATGCCCAACCTTTTTCCTGAGAACAGCCTCGCAGGTTTTAATCCGCCAGTGCTGTTTTTTTTTTTTTTTCTTTTTTTTTTGGGGGGAGGGAACCTAATTCTTTAACAAAAGGTTGAGTGGTTTAAAACAAAACATTAACGGAGAATAGTTTTCCCAGACGCGATTGCCCGGAAAGTCCCGGTGTAACCTGCCAGCTCCCGGGGCTCGGGAAACATCTCCAAATTTACTGGGAAGCAAAAGGCTGCGGGCGGGGGCGGCGCGGGGAGAGGAGGGCATTAAATCACAGAATCCCAAACTCCAGCAAGTTTCACCGAAATATCATGCGGGCAGACCACGAGGAAGCATGAATGTGCACTGTGGGCCCGGGATAATCAGTAGCCTGTAGGATGAACACGTTAATAAAACGAGAAGACACACAGATTCCTAGAACACTAATAAAAGACACGGCTTCTGGGGAGAGCGGTTTCGTTTTGAGTTTCTTTCTCCTCAGTATCTGACGCTCATTTCGATTTTTCAGACGTGGCCATTCGTGGTCTCTGGACGACCAGACTCTGACACCAAAGATGTTTCTGCAGCCGGCAGACTGTGTGGGACTTCCGCTTAGAGGAACAGCAAGGCTGGTGATGGATTGTGTTAAATGCTAAGGACTCGGACAAGGAGGGGGTTCCGGGGACCTTGTCCTTTCCCTGGACCTGTTAGCAGGACGGGCGACCGCCCTTGTGGAGCGCAGGTGGCCATATAGCTGCTGTGGATCAGCGCGACTGTAGGTAGCCTAAGAGAGCCTGGTTTCCTGGGGAGAACTCAAGGAGATCCAACTTGGGGCTTTAGCTCTCAGCACAAACCCCCTGAGGCAGCCATCTGATTCTGGTTTTTTTATGCTAATGTCGATTTCCCCAGGGGTTGATGACAAGTCCTATGCAGCCAGGTCTCTTGTCCAGCACTGGACAGACAAGGCCTTGGCGGTAGAGCTGAGCAGGTGCCTCCTTCAAAGTCTCTAAGGAAAGTGGCATATTCCCACCAGGGATGGATCTTTTACTGGCGGTACATGGTGAGATGGCGATATATACCGCCAGAAGCCGGTTTTGGGTTGGGGTCCACTTCCAGAGCCCCCTCCTCTGTCTAATCAGTGTTAGGACAGCCTGCCTTCCATCTGGTCCCCACCCAGTGAGTTCAGGGCTTTATTTGGGTCTGAGTCTCCTTCCCACCCTGAAGTCTCATCTGACTGCCCCTGTGGGGACATGCACTTCGCCCCTCTAATCTGGTCACTCCCACCACAGCACAGTCTCCCGTGGGGTTCTCCCAGGCACCCATTATTCTTTCTGGTCCAGCTTATGCGGTCGGATGATGCTGGCCTCTCTACCCACTGAAATGCTGGCTTGTATCCAGTCCAGGGAGCTTAGTGGTCCTGGCAATGCTGTGGTGGTGCTACTCTACCGTGCTAATTAACATATGTAAATAAATTTATTTTTTTATGAACAAAACCATGCGTTGTTTAAAGTCTTTTCCAAGGCTGTTTAGTCCGTAATTCAACTTTAAATGGACAGGTCTCTCCTCTCAACAGGACATTGAGTTATGACTGTAGGAAGGATAGTGGAGGTTCCGGTCTAGTCAGATTTCCAGAGTCTCTTTATCATCTCCTTTCTGATCTAAGGCATATGAGGGTCTCACCCAATTCATAATCCTCTTGATGCTTCCCCTGATGCTGCCCCCTTAGTGCTGGGATGATTGACAGAATGGACCACTACATCAGATCAAAATACTCTGTGTTTCCAGAAGTAGGAATTCCTGGAAAGTAAGAACTGGAGGCCAGATAAAGCTGATGTATTTTCAGATCAGGCTGACTAGGGGTTGGTCTCTCTCTCTCTCTCTCTCTCTCTCTCTCTCTCTCTCTCTCTCTCTCTCACACACACACACACACACACACACACACACACACACACTTTTCCAGCCTGACCCACACCCCTTGCTTGCTTATAACTGCAAGACCTTCAAGAGCATTCCACCATCCCTGCCCTCTGGAGGCTACAGCTCTAAGATCCAACTGGCAGAATAAAACAAGTTCCTTCTGCCTCATAATTGGTGTTTTTAATGCTCACCACATTTTCAGCAATCACCCCACACACACACACAACACACACATTATCGTTGCAATAGCAAAGTCTATAATGTTATTTTGGTAAGCAGACCCTCTGAACACAAAGCTCGTTTTGTAGAGGATTTACAAAAGCATGAAGGATAAAAGTGCCTAAATATCTCTTAGACTTAGATTCTACCTGTGACATCATAAAATCAAAACACAGTTTTCTTGACCAGAGAGAAAACACAGCTGGATTTTCATTGAGAGGTGGGAGTATGACTTCCTGTTTTGCACTAAACCAAAGCCCAGTCCCCAGAGAGCCTTCTCACACCAGCTTCTGGTCCTGGGGGTCAGTTAGGAGACAGAGGTTGGGAGGGGACATGGGTGTTTCTGTGGCGTTATGGACTTTCAGGTAAAAGGAGCCACAAGAGACTAGTGGCAGGAACTCCAGGCACAGTTTTCTGCTGTGAAGTCTGGGCGACATGGGGCCAGGAGCCTGCTGCAGCCTTATCTCCGTGAAGGTGATGCCCAAAGGTTACAACAAGCCAGGTTCTTTCTACTGCCCAGTGTGATGGACAAGAACCAATGTCAGCTGCTGTAGTGGCTGGCTCACAGGCTGTCGTGGCAACGTTTGGCAGGCTAACGCAGAAGGGTTATCCTGAGTATAGAGGTAGCATGGCCACAGAAGGAATCTGTGCCTTAAACAAAAGTTGAAACTCAAAGTGAGAGTGTTGCCAAGCATGGTGGCTTGTGTCTGCAATCCTAGTACTGAGAAGGGGAGGCTTGAGTTCCAGACCAGAATGGGATACAGCATAAGATCCATCTTTAAAATGAGACAAACGTTAAAAATAGTGTGCCGTCTACTTCTATGTCAGCCTGACACAAAGTAGAGTCATCCAAAAGGAGGAAGCCCCAGTTGAGAGATTACCTCTGTAAGATCTGGCTGTAGGACCAATTAGTGATGGGTTGGGGGGGATCTATATTGTGGGTGGTGCCATCTTGGGTTGATGGCCCTGGGTTCTATAAGAAAGCAGAAAAAGGGAAGAAGAGGAGGGGGAGGAGGACATGAGGGAGCAGGAAGACTGAGTCAGGGAAGAATAGAGGGGACAAGAAAGAGAAACCTTAATAGAGGGTGCCATGATAGGTTAGAAATCTGGCACTAGGGAAATATTCAGAGATGACCCCAACTAAGAATCTAAGCAAGAGTGGAGAGGCTGCCTTAAATGCCCTTCCCCTATAATGACATTGATGACTACCTTATTGCCATCATAGAGCACTCACCCAGTAGCTGATGGAAACAGAAGCAGACACCCACAGCTAAACAGTGAGCAGAACTCCTGGAATCCAGTTGTAGAGAGGGAGGAGTGATGAGCAAAGGGGTCAAGACCAGGCTGGAGAAACCCACAGAAACAGCTGACCTGAACAAGGGGAGCTCATGGACCCCAGACTGACAGCTGAGGAATCAGCATAGGAACGAACCAGGCCCATGGGTGTCAATTAGGAGTCCTCGGCAGTCTATGGGACCTCTGGTAGTGGAACAAGTATTTATTCCTAGTGTAGGAATGGATTTTAGGAGCCCATTCCCCATGGAGGGATTCTTTCTCAGTCTAGTACATAGGGGAGGGCCTAGGCCCTGCTCCAAATGATATGACAGACTTTGATGATCCCCCATGAGAGGCCTCACCCTCCCTGGGGAGTTGTTGGGGGATGGGATGGGGAGTCGGGGGGGGGTACAGGAGGGAGAAGGAATTGGGATTGATATGTAAATAAGATTGTTCATATATATATGTATATACAGATACATATATACATATATACATACATACACATATATATACATATATATATGTATATATATATATATATATATATGGATGAACAAGCCATGAGGGCAAGCCCATAAGTAGCCTCTGCATTAGCTCCTGCCTTCAGTTTCCTGCCCTGTTTGAGTTCCTGTCTTGATTTCCTTCAATAATGAACAAGGATATGGACATGTAAGCCAAAGGAACCCTTTCCACCATATTCCATCACAGCATTAGTAACTAGGACAGAAATTGGTAGCGGGATTGTGGAGCATTGTTTTGACAGACCAGACCATGTGTTTCAGGGAGGATGTGGAAAGGCTTTGAAACTCTGGAATAGAAAAGCCTTTTGAATGTTGCAAGCTCAGTGGTCTGTTCTTTGGAAACATGGAAGATAAAACTGTTAGGGAAAATGGATGGAGGTCTGGCTTAGGAAATTCCAGAAGGAAGTTTGAGAGTCACTCAAAGACTTGATTGGTGTTGTTGAGTAGGAGTTAAGAATCTGTGGTTCTGGTTAGCTGGGGCTGAAGAATTGTCTGTGATTAACAAGAAACTATGTTAGTGAAACCTTCACTTTTCTGGGACAATTGATGCTGAGAAATCATTGGTGATGAGGAGACCAGTATCAGCGGGATGAAATCTTCTGGGAAGTGTTTCCGAGGCAGCACACGGAAGCTGTGTTCCAGAGGATGCAAGGTTGTACCACATGCTGGCCATTGAACTTGGTAGTATAAGAGTCGCCTGGGTCATACTGGTTTTGAAGGCATGAATGGGGTCATGAAAAACAGTTGAGGCTCTGTGAGAGGCCAGGAGAAGGTGCAGACCCATTGGCAGTTGAAGCCCCAGAATGGAAGGAGTTATGCAGAGAAGCTGAGGTTTGCCACCATTAACTGAGCCCAGGAGAGGCTATTGGTGAAAGTGTAGCCCACTGCAGCAAAGACCCCCGAGTTTTGAAGGTGCCAGTACCAGGAGATGACCAGCAGCAGAAATGGGACAGAGCCAAAGGAGCCTTGCAGATAAGTTGTGTGTGCTGCAGAGGGCAGAGCCAGAGAAGTGACCCAAGCCCTTTGGAGGAGCCCCGATTTTTGATCCTAGACACTGGGCATTGAGTTATTTACACAGTTGGAGGTTGGTTGGCTTAGATTTGACTGTGAGTGTGTCCTGATTCTTCTATCTTGAAGTAGGAAAGTATTTGATCTTTTTTTTTTTTTTTTCATGACACTTTAAACCTTTTAGCAAGATTGTGGGATTTTTACAAAGACTGGATTTTTAAAGAGAATGAATATGTTAAAGAGATTTGTTTTTAAGTGTTTGAATTCTTAAAAGCTGTGGGATGTCTTTAAGAGTTTACAATTTGGGATGTTTACATTATAATGTTAATGTTCATGTGTGGTCTTGGGGATGAACAAGAAAGGAAAGGTTATAGCTTAACACTGATATGTTTGCATGTCAAGATGACAGGGGTCAGTTGTGCTAGCTAATTTTATATCAATCTGACACAAACTAGTCATCTGAAAGGAGGAAACCTCACTTGAGAAAATGCCTCTATATGCTGTAGAGCATTTTCTTAATAAGTGATTGATGAGGCAGGGCCCATACCATTGTAGGTGAGGCCTGGTGGTCCTTCTATAAGAAAGCAGGCTGGGTAAGCCAAAGGGAGCAAGCAACTCCCCTCTGTGACCTTTACATCAGTTTTCACTTCCAGGTTCCTGCCCTGTTTGTGTCCCTGTCCTGATTTTCTTCACATAAGCCAAGTGTCTCCCCCAAGTTGTTTTTGGTCATGGTCATGGTCACAGCAGTGGTGACTCCAAGGAACACAAATAGAAGGCAGAAATTTCTGAGGAGCCTGTATTC